GGACTTTGTCCGGAGGCGCTGCGCCTCGTCCCAAAATCCTTTTCGTTCACTGAATTCCAGGAGCGCGTTGCCCGGGGCCCTCGGGGGTGCGGTGTCGGAGAGGAAGCTGTGTCCGCTACATTCCTCCAGATTTTTCCATTTTCATAGCCTCTTCCAGTCCTTAACCCGACCTCCACCGCGTGAAGTAAACTTATACCCAGTTTCTTGAGGAAACAAGCCACAGAGCGTTAGTATTCCCCGCAGGCGCCTGGTTCAGCACGCGGGGATCGGCTGGCCACCCTGGTCGGCGTCCGCGTTGGGGGGCGGAGTCCGGACCGCGGCCACCCGAGAGTGCGGTCAGGAGCGCGCGCCGGGAGTACCGGGAACCCGCATCTCCTGAAGCACTTGAAACTCTTTGAAGTCTTGTTTGTGTTGTAAATGCTTTGTTAGAGTTGTGTAGTGGACTATGGGACATTTCTGATGAGGTCATTAGGAGATGGTCTCTGAGCAGACTTTGTAGGATGTTTTGAGAATATGGGAATAATGGTAGCTAACATTTGTGTGTGTATCATAGCCAGCACTGCTCCAAGCAGGACTTGAATTGTCTCCTTTAGCCCTGGGAACAGCCCTATCTAATTGATCGAGGCATACAAATTCATAGCTTGCCCAAAGTCGTCAGTAGTACGTGGTGAAGCCAGAATTTGAACCTAGAGGGTCTGGCCCCAGAACCCGCTCTAAAACAGTTAAACCATCCTGGCATTGAGTAAAAGACACCCAGTAGAAGCATCCGGTCTATACTAGAGGTATACATAGTGGGGTCTGACTATTGTAAGATAATAGACAGTGAGGCTAGAAAAATAGTGAGGGACTATTGAAGACAATTTTGAGAGCCGAGTTAAGGTGTTTGGAGTTCATGGATGCTATATTTTCCCCCAAGATAAATTAAAAATTCACATATTGGCCAGCCAGGTAAGCTTTTATGAAGGAAAAGATACTGCTTAGTGCACAGTTAATACGTGGTAGAAGGTCATCAGGCATTTCTGATAGTTAATATGGGCAAGTTAACCATGTTTTTTAAATTGACAGAATATATTTAAATAGTTAAGACTGAATTTTATGCTGGGTTTTTTTAATCACAATTTTTTAAAAGTCACTAAATTCCATGTTGGCTATGTTATGCCTGAAGATGTGATGTCTTTGTATCCATTGAGCAATAAATTAAATGGATTAAAACCCCAGGCTTCCATGCAGGGTTGATTTTAGTGGGATATCTGAAGGAAACAAAATAGGAAGTTTTAATTTCTTGTGTATAATTAGGATGGTGGCTGAGGGAAGTTAAAGAAGGGGTAACTTGAAGATGTTTTAAACATAGATTGAGCAGGACAGGTGTGGATAAAAAGAAAGGTAAAGAAAAGGAAAGAAAACAATGGTTTGAAGATGGGAGATAAGTAGTTTAATTTTAAATGTGTTGAGTTTTACCAGCCAGTGGCATACCAGCCAGGGTCCAGCAAGAAATTTAAATTCTGGCACTAATGTTTGAGAACATTGGATCTAGAGATGCAGATTCTTCCACCCAGAAAGTGTAGTTGAAACTTAGGGAATGAGAGTTAGTGAAAGTGTGTGTGAAAAGGAAAGGAAAGGGCCATGGGAGGGCAAAGAGAAAGACTGGAGGAGAAAAACCCAGATCCTCAGTTTTCACTGAGGAGAGGATTGGAACAAAGACGTTGACGGCCAGCAGTGCCATAATCCAGTGATGTTGGGGAGAGCTTTGTAGGTTGATAAGAGCCAGTGTAGTGGGACACTGAAAATAAAGAAATGGATCAACATCAGGGAGTGTGAGAGAACAGGAGCAAAAACACAAGTAGAGATATATGGAAAACTTTTTTTTTTTTTTTAATTTTATTTTTGTTTAAAATATTACAGATGTCCTTTTTTCTCCTCAATGACCCGTTCCACCCCATCCCATCCCCATCCCCATCCCCTCTCCCTACCATTGTCCATGTCCTTGGGTTGTGTATATATGCATATAAGTTCTTTGGTTACTCTCTCCCCCTCCAGCCACCCGCCCTCCTCTCTCCCTCTGACATTCGTTGAATCTATTCTGTTCATCAGCTTATTAAGTTCTTCATATTCCACGTATAAGCGAGATCATGTGATGTTTGTCTTCCTCTGCCTGGCTTATCTCACTCAGCATAATGT